AGGCGATGGAGCGGAGCAGGGAACGGGCACGGAGAGGCGGGCGCCGCGTCTCGGGAGAAGTTTGTCGGGGAGAGCTGGGAATTGTCCCAGCGTTCCTGCTTGGAGGTGTGGGATGGAGACAAGGTCCTCACCCTGCACCTTGACACTGCCCAGCCCCTCCCCGGAGCACAGGGTGGGCTCAGCACTCAGCTCACAAGAAGGGTTGGGTGGGTTGGGATCGTTATCCCGGTGCCGACACGCGGGATGAGCCAGGACGTCCCCCCAGCCGGGAGCACGGCCATGCTGGGCATTCCCAGCCCATCCCACCACTTCCCAGGCCTCCAGCAGCCCCTGCCAGAGGGCACCGTGCCCGCAGCATCCCGAGGGGTGCACAGAAGGATACAGGGAAGAGCTGGCACTGGCACCACCCCAGGGAAGCCTCCCGGGACAGGGCACAGGAAGGAAAACATCCCCACCCACCCCCTGCCCCGGGGGGCTTGGCACGAGGGTGTCACCCCCAAGGCTGCTCAGAATGGCCTTGGGGGGCTCACGGGGGCTTCTCTTCCCCCCCAGGAGCCCAGGGGGAAAGGGGCAGGAGGAGCCAAGGCCAAGCTCAGCACCAGCCCCCTGTCCTGCTGGCACGGATACTCCGGAATACCCGACTCCAGGAGGATGTGCAGCCCCCCCAGCACTCGGGCGATCACCCCGCTGAGCAAGGACCACGGCAGGGCCGGTGTTTTTACCCACCACGACGCCAAAACCTTTTCCAGGGGTGGTCTGACCCACTGGGAGAGGGGGGGTACAAGACCCCGGGCCACCCACCAGTCACTCAAGGCACCCACAGGACCAGCTCCAGCTTCCCAGGGATCACCCCCTTCCCTTCTCCATCGGCACCGGCTCCCCGGCACGCGGGGCCGACGCTGCCAACGGGAAACCTCCGGGTGGGATTTTCCAGCTGCTGCCCACCCAAGATCCCCACGGATGCTGCTCCCGGCGCATCCCAGAGCCAGGAGGGTCCCGTGCCAGGGACACCAGCTCAGCCCCCTCCCCGGGGCTGGGGGCACCACAGCATCACCCTGATGGCACAGACCAGCACATTCCCTGATCTCCTGGGAACGAAGCCCGAGCCTCTGCCATCCCCTGGCAAAGGTTCAGCGCTCGGCACTTAAGGACTTAGAGGTTTCATCGCTGTAATTAACCTTAATCTTTAATTTATAGGGCACAGGGAAACCAGTCAGATGCTGTAACTGGTTTATCCCATTACTGATACAAGCCCGGGATCCCAGGAAGGGGTCGTGTTCCTTGGTGGAGCTGCTTGGAGCTTTGGGATGGGCACATCAACACCCCTCACCCCGTGCTCTGGGCCAGAGGAACCCAGGCTCAAACTGGGCTCAAACTGGGCATAAACTGGGCTGCAAAAGTTGTAATTAGCGGAGGCTGAGCTGAGGGCACAGGGGACACAGCAAGGGCAGGACACAGCAGAGGGGACACGGGTCGGATGGACCTCAGAGGTGCCCCCTGAGCACAGGAGGGGAGGAGAGGGGCACAGCTGGTGCCCACAGCTGCACTTTTGGGGCACAAAGCGGTAAAAGTTGGCACGGGAATGGGAAGGGAGCAGAAAGGGAAAGCGGGGTCCCCAGAGCTGATCCAGCTCCCTGTTCCCTGGAGACTCATGGATGTGGGACCCCAGCTTGGCTCCAAGCCATGGGGCTCCCACGCTGCCCCCAGCCCCCTGAGGCTGCCCCC